TGTAAACATTATAAACCTACCCTGTGCCATCTTTAAAATGGACAGTTCCAGAGATGAACCTGGGTTGGTTTAGAGCTATCCTCTACAAAAGCGTGGAAAGTAAGTAGTTTCACACATCCAGGCTGTGTCTGATCCTCCCAAGTGTATCTGTTCAGGTATCATGGCAGGTGTGGTCAAAGCCTCTGCTTGGAATCCAATACATGAAGTAGAAATTTATATTTCTGTGTCAAAGTGGATGAAAAGCCAACATGTTTGTTGGTTCTCAAACACTTTTAGGTGCTTTAATATTTAAAACAATTGTAGCTGGGCTTTTCCTAATACTTTATTTTGTTTAGATTGTAAACACAGCATAGCAAGATGTCAAATATTGAACTTGATTGTAAGTATAATTTAAAGTGAGTGTCTAGCACTTTGTCATAAAGTCTGGATTTTGGTATAACAGTTTACATGTTATGCTGTGATTTGTATTAATCCTTTTTTAATGTTCTAGATACACTCATCCCTCTCCATTTCTCACCACTTTTCAAAGGTTTTTCTTCATGTGAGATATGCATTTACTGTACATTATTTTTAACTAAATTAGATCAGTTTTCACTCTTATGAGGCTAGCTTTCTTGTGAATGCACCTAAAAAGAAAAACTTTTTTTTAAAGAACATAATGTAACATTCCTTCTTTCCTTTCTTTTACGGTCCCTGTTGAAATGAATTACCTAATGATTTGCCGAATGTATGAGCTGCAATCTTGCCCTAGATTTTCACATCTCATTTCAAATACTTTTGATAGCTGTTTTTAGCCTTCTGACAAGAGGGAAATGTACTGTAATGAAACCTGTGGTCTCATGGGTTCTAAGCTCACACAACTTCACACTTCAAACACAAACCTGAGTAAAAAATGATAAAGGATATGGATATACCTGCTATATTACATGAGAGAATGTAACTGAACATCAAAAACCTTATTTATCCCCAACACCAGAGGAGAATGGCTTTCATCCAGAGAGAGAAACTCTTTTGCCACTGGTCAATCTGTCCACTAGTTCTCTCTCTCACTTGTTCACTGTGAGTGCTGCATGACCACAATTTCATTTCTCCTCTCTCACCTGCACCCATCTTGTCACTCTGTCATATGTCAGACAGAGGGGTGGACGGATAAAACCGTAACATTATAGCTACAATTTCTGTTACAATGCCCCTGGATGCCTGAAGCTGCTTAAAGTCTACAGTTTTTGTTTTTTCCTGTTTTGGCCTTACAATTGTTTTAAATTCCGCTTAATGGTCTCACATTCCCTATAGGAAGTCTGGCAGTACCGCCTCAGTCCCTG